GCTGCCGGCTGGGGCTAAACCACGACAGACCCGCTGCATCAGAGGAGAACTCCATGCGGGTGTAAAACAAAACAAGCAGCACGGAAGATGAGACTCCTGAGAAAGTGGGAGCCATCCTCAAGGAGGTCTGGCTCCAGCCGAAGCAGAGCAAAACCTCTCTGGTGCTGCGGGGCTCTCCACAGCTGCGGAGGGCACGCCGTGGGCACGCCAAGCGTTGGCCTTCTGCTTCCACGTCTCAGAAGCAGCAGCCAAACACTACGGACATGAACAAGCATTAGTCCTTACCAGCCCCTCAACAGCGTGTTCCTTCCCCTACTAACAACCAGGATCAGTTCAGTTTTAAATTTTATACATGTTTCATTTTTACACCTCACAAGAATGCTCCTCTGGAGTGATATTTATAAACGAGATAATCTTCTCCCTGCCTTTATTAAGCCTCCGCTGGCCCCTCCCTGTTCATACTCCCTGTCAGCAGCTACCAAGTCAAAACCCTTGGACCCCCGAGGTTTGCATTGCCCAACACACCAGCAGGAAACAGCTGCACGTGCATCCGTCCGGAGCCAAACCCTGCTTCTCCAGCCAGGGAAAAGCTCTACCTCTTCTCTTATTTTGCAGGTCTTCAAATGTGTAGTAAGAGCTCAAATATTTTTTCACTGGCCATGAAAAATCTTGGTAGCCAAAAAGCAGCTCTCACCACTTCTAGAAAGGGATTTAACCTCATACAGAAAAAAAGCTGTGTTTGGTCCCATTCCTTTGTCTTTCAGTGCGGTACAGAGTGTGGATCAAAAGCAAGTCACCTTTGAGTGTGACAGCAAGGGAATTCTGAATGCGGACACCTACCCTCCCTGGACCAGGATGGATATAATGAGCTACAGCTAATTAAACCTGTTAGAGACAGCTTTTTGCAGGATCAGCAAACAAATCAAATATGCTATAGCATAGCTATCCCGGAGGGAGAAATAAGATGCTCTCTGTGGTATATGAAATGCTTTTCTCTGGGAAGCCTAGTGTTCTACATAAAAGCAAACGTACGTGGGAGAATATTTTGTTTAGCTCTTAAGCATCTATTTGTCCTTTCATTTTAGAGGAACAAGTCTGCCCCTGCTGCAGTCTATGAGCATCAGTCCACCTACGAGGTCCCCAGCTGACCTGTGGATGATGTGCCTGCTCTGGAGATAGTCAAGGGCCAGCACCAGCTCACAGATGAAGAGTTTCACGGTGCCTTCCTGGAACCGCACGTTTTGTTGGAGATGGTAACGCAGGTCCCCTCCAAGCAGCAGGTCTACAACCATAAACATATCTTCTTCATCCTGGAACGAGTACCTAAAACGGCATAAGCATGGTTCAAGGATGATAATATTGAAAAAAGACAGGTTATAAAGGGACATATGGTAGCTCTGAGAACACTCATAATTTCTTGGAACTTTTTCACTTGTGGAATAATAATTTCATGACCTTCCCATGCTCCGTTTCATGCTGTGACTAAACTCATATTGTCATACTTGAGATGACAATAATTTAGCTTCAGTTCCATAACAGAGTCAGAACAGCTTGTATGAACAACTACCAGCAGGCCCACTAGAAGAACAGAAACCCAATATTTTTATGTTGGACTTGTTACTATCAGCCACTTCAAAAATAAAGCCACGTCCAAACCTCCCCAAACCCATTACTCTGACACAACTTGCTGCTAAGTTCCTCCCCCTAAGGGGAGAAGATGGACGGCAGCCTGACAGGCGGGTTTATCACGGGATACGAGCACAGACCAGGAAGGGCCCAGGTGTGGACCACGCATTTTTATTTCGAGGAGGACCTCAAATTAACACTTGTCTACTGCTTGCTTCCTGAATCACCGGGCAGCATGCGGCGCGCACCAGCTTTGCTCAGCAGTTAACAGCGGGCGCCAGCGGCCGCAAGTGAATGAAATGCTTCCACTCAGGACATGTGAGGAGGGAGGTGGCACCCTG